TGACAAAGCAGTTGCATCAATGCCTTCTGGACATTCTCGTTTCCATTCTTGGTTCTACTAAATCACCCCACAAAAGACCACACAATAAATACGAAAAATTCAGGAGAACTATCTTTAAGTTATACTTCAATCGTACCGACAAGCCCAAATAAAATGTGTGAAAATAACTTGGGGTAGCCAGTTTTTAGACTGGTACTAGAAAAATAACCAGCAATTGTAAAGTCATTAAAAAATAGTCATTATTTTAGCTGAAACATCGAAAGTTTCAGCATAATATGCTGGATTATGGACCTCCTGCATATAAACTTCCAGCATATTATGTTAGAACTCTAGTACATTTTGAAATTCCATCGCATTATGTTGGAATCTCATATGTAAAAAAAATTCTAATTCCAGCATATTATGCTGGAATGTTTCGAATTTTAAGGGTGCTTTTGTTCAGATTTTATCTTTAAATGAAAAAATGGCTAAATTTCGATTACTTGTGATTATTTTTTAATTATCAGTTATAAATCAGGGTATTTCTGATATTGTTTTCCATATAATATTTAGGGTTTAGGTTTTGATCATTTTAATGAACTATTAAAGGTCCAAAGAGGCAAAGACCCGCTCCATTATAGACAAATAAGCCCAATTTTTTGTTAGATGGCTTTAATTTTCCTTCTTTTTTCATAGGCTTACATGAGTAAGGAATGTTCAACTGGATAACGGTTCTTAAGAAGTTACAAAAATTCAAACTCGTAAATGTTTGTCAAAAACAAAAGTTAAGAGAGAAAGAAAAACTTTTGGAACTTGTGATGTGGAACATGTCATAAATATTTTTTTGGCTATAAAATTATGTCATTAAAGATAAAATAAAAAATTTAATGTTAAATTATTTTAAATATAAAAATATATTATTCTTCTTGAAATATATTTAAAAAAAAAGTACGCTGCATAAAATAAACTAAAAGAAGTAGGCTTTTTTTTTTTTTGTCATTCGATTGTCTTTTTGGCACCTGTGGCTGCTACAAAAGGTTGATAAATATTTGATCATTTATAGCTTGGACTTACATAAAACGCTACTATTAGAAAAAGTATGCCCAAAAGAGCACCCTAGTAAAGAAAAAAATGAAGATGGGGTTCACGTCACGACTCACGAGTCAGTTTTCTGATAATCAATTTTAGTGGTATGGTTGAAATTGGGAAATGGCCTTTTGGACTTACTTAAGAGCACCTATCATTTCTTCTATTTCTCTGTTTTGCAATTTGCATTCCTCATTCGTCATTTTCCATATATGTGCCTTGTAGTCCTCTTAACCTTTTGTGGCTCTTGAACTTCCACATAACCTTTCCAATTCCAAAAGAATATTTTGAGTGTAGCTTTTACTTTCGAATTGAGGTTGGACATTGATTGATAGGATGAGGAAAACGTACAAGTATTAGTCTTTCTATTTCGATAGTATCATTTTATATTTTGGTACAAAAAAAGTACTCCTTTTATTTTACTTTGTTTGCCATAATTTAACGTAGCACAATTTATTGAAGAGATGAAGACTTTTGAAAGTTTTAATTTTAAATATGTTATAATAATTGTATAATTATAAAAAGTTAAACTTGTATTCTTAAATATTTTATAACATTTGTGGAGTTATAAAAGTTTATCATTAAAAAAATATATGAATGTATTATTTTTTTATGACGAAGTAATAAGAAAATAACGTCAAAGTCAAATGGAAGGAATATTCAATAACTAAAATTTTCATAGCTATCGTCATTTGAAGATGTTTATCGTATGATTTCTAACTTTTGGTTGCATTCAAAAATTCAAAAAGAAAGAAAAACCTAGTTAGCATTGGAGAATGCTCAATTGAAGTTTCAATAAGTAAAAAGGTGAATCAATCTAGAAATGATGGACTTTTTCTTACTAAATCGGAACTTTATATGAAAACAAACAGTCCATTTGATTTTTAATTAAATGTATAGTTCAAACAAGATATAATTAATTATTTTAAATACGGTATGTGAAGAGCAATAAAAAATAATTTTATTTAAGAAAACAAAATGTTGAAGAATTGAATCAATGTTCAATCCAAAAGCCAAAAATAGAAGGCCATAGTTGACTTGCCCATGGAAAACAAACAGCCACCGGCAAGCCAGGAAGGCCACATTGCACGTACTAGCGCTTTACCTAAAGCTATATAATAATAACCGAAAAAGTTCAAATATGCCCTTGTACTATATGAAATTGAGCATATTTGCCATTCGTTAATATTTTACCTCAAATATGTCCTTACCTCGTCACATTGTTGGTCTATATATGCCCTTAGAGTTACACAGTTGGCCCATATATGCTCTTTTCGTAACGGAATTCACCCAAACTAATTAGTTCTTTCGTTAATTGTATTAAAGTGTATTACAAATACTATTTTCTTTTTATTAGTACTTTTTTTTCTTTACCTTTCTCTTTTCTTTTTTTCTTTTTTCTTTTCTTGTCTTTTTTTTTCCTTTTTCTTTCTCCCTTATCTGATTTCCTCCATTACCGATATCTTCTCCATTTTCGTTACCAATTTCACTTGACAAAACTCATGAATTCCAATTACTAAAAAAATTCTCTCATAAGAATATTTTTATAGATCATATGTTTGTCAATTTTTTAAATTTTTACTGAACATATATTTAGTTCTAAAACATTTAACAAAGTAAGATTGAAATAATATTTATGTAACAAAAAATATGAAAAATCCAACAAAATCGAACAATCCAAACCGATATAATTGGTTTGGTTTGGTTTTGATATAAACCGAACCAACTAGTTCCATGTACACCCCTAATTTACATAGTTAATAAAAAAAATAGAAAATGTCCAACTCAAAAAGATAAAAAAAGACTAACAACTCAAATTTATAACACTACAACTTGAACTCTAGGCTTTTAATTATTAAATTATCTTTCTGGAAACAATTTAAATATTTTGGTCTTTTGAGTATTGTTAAAGGTTGAGATATTTTTATTATTTTAAAGTTTAAACCATAATTTTTGGAACAATTTAATTTCATTTATTTAGAAGGCCAGTGAAATTGGAACTTGATTACCTTATGGGAGAATTTTCTTAGTAATTCGAATTCATGAGTTTTGTCAAGTGAAATTGGTGACGAAAATGGAGAAGACATCAGTAATGGAGGAAATCGGATAAGGGGGAAAGAAAAAGGAAAAGAAAAAAGAAGAAAGAAAAGAGAAAGGTAAAGAAAAAAAGTACTAATAAAAAGAAAATAGTGTTTGTAATACACTTTAATACAATTAACGAAAGAGCTAATCAGTTTGGGTGAATTCCGTTTCGAAAAGGGCATATATGGGCCAACTGTGTAACTCTAAGGGCATATATGGACCAACTATGTGACGGTAATGGCATATTTGAGCTAAAATATTAACGAAGGGCAAATATACTCAATTTCGTATAGTACAAGAATATATTTTGACCTTTGCCCTAATAATAATAATAATAATATCTTGTTTTTGAATTATTCATAGAATTAGGAGACAAAGCAGGATTCCATTATGTCGGATTAATGTATTGTACGTACCTGTGTGCCCCTGACCTTGTAAAAACCTTTTTAAATATTTGATGTTTACAAGTCAGTGATTAGAGGTCATAATTTTAACTCCAAGGTTCCTAATCACTTTATATTACTCCCCCGTCAATAATTTTTTAGTTATTTTCACACAAATTAAAAAATTTATATTTTAACATTAATTAACAATAAAATTGATCATATTAACCTTTACTATCTTTCCACACAAACACTCCTAACACATACTCCAATACTATTTACTCATTAATTCATTCTTGAAATAGGAAAAAGATAATTAATTCATTCTTGAAATATGAAAAAATTACTTATTTTGGACCACAAAAAAAAGCTTAAAAATCACTTATTGTGGACCGGAGAGAGTATTCAGTTGAGTTTTTTTTATTAATTATGTCGGGGAAAACCGCAACTTTTAGGTATTGAGTAAATTAAATAGACCCAACCCTACGCACATTCTTTCAGTTTATATTTTGCGTGTAGTTGGTAACATTGTACTAAAATAAACAAAATAGAAGTGTTTTCTAAATATATTCTTTCAGGTGTTTGAGAGTACAAGATAATTTTCAAGAAAGTGTAGATAAATTTCAAATTCTTCTGATTATCACAAATTCTTCCTAAAACATGTATAAAGGGAGCTGTGAAATGCTCTTAGTATAAAATTGCTTCATCAAGGAAACAGTTTTATGAAAAACAGAAAAAGTACATGTTAGGAATGTAATGAACAGGAATACAGGATCACAGTAGTTTCTTCTTCTTCTTCTTTGTTAATTATGTGAAATTAATATCAAATATGTATTTGGAGGGTTTTCTGTTGAGTTCCGTTGATGGGTAATTGATTACTGATCACCTTTTAGTTTCGTTATATAGTTTTAAGCAAATCTTACCTTATGAATTAAATTTTACTATTGATTTAGGTTTAAAGTCCATTTGCTTTATTATGATATTCAAGTCAAATTTATCCAACTCGTAATCTATCAATTATTAGACCCTCATCTTATATGATGTCCAATTTTAGACATCCAGATAGTGTTGGATTCCCATATCATGAATTATTTGATCTTCTTATATAATTTTCGACAAATCCAATGACCATTCTCTTTAACATCCTCTTTTCTTTGACATATACTATATTGTTAATTTATATTATATGGGGTCATAATTGAAATGAATTGTTTAATCGGAACTGAGAAAGTGAAGTGAAGATAAGTGGCCCATTCCCCCAAAACCCCACTGCAAATGGCTGACGCCTTTACATGTTCCATCCATTAAGGCGTTGAATATTCATTCAATCTAAATAATATTTCACTTTCCAAATTCAAACTTCCTTCAATATAAACAAATATAATTTCCCAAATTCAATCAAATTAAATATAATTACTATCCAACTCCAACTGGATTATACACAAGAACAAACCATGGATTAGCCTTCTCATCTAACCATGGTTAAATCCCCATATTCTATAAATGCGCCCGACACTGTCCTTTTAAGACACAAAGAACGTTTACTGCTAAAAGAAGCCATCACATTTCTCCTTCATCCCCCTCCTTCAATATGACTTTATTCTCCACAAATCCACGTGAGGTAACGTTAAATCTCCATAATCCTAATAGAAATGTTATCCCCCCCCCCCCCCCCCCCCATAATTCTCATATATAGTTTCTTTCACCTCCTTTTCTGATTCAATCTTCCCCAATTCAAATTTTTACTTTTTTCTTCATCTTCCACATGAGTGCCTTCAAGATTTTTCTTTATGGCAGAATTATCGAAATTAAGTAGGATCAGAGAGCAGGATATGGATTATATGATTTTTTGGTTAAATAACATGTATGTTTTAATTTGGTGTGTAACAACGTTGTTGTGAATAAGATTGTCGTTTGTTTCTGACTTGCAGGTTACGAAAATGGCAGAGGATTCCTATGAAGACGCCATTGCAGGACTGAAAAAGCTCCTCAGGTAGAGAGTACAGTACCATTAATTTTCCCGACTTTATGTCCTTTTCCCTCAGCACATTCTGTTACTTCTATAACGTAATTAGTGCACAGAATTCTGTCCTGATCTGTCATTTTACTATTTCCAATAAGGACGCGGACGGTGATTTCATCATCTTATTTTGAGCTAATCCTAACTGGTTTGTCTGTTTGCACTACGTGGGACCAACTTTTTGTTCGTCAGTAGGTCCCACACGGAGTGATGGTTGAATATTAATATTTTTTTTTTGGCTTTGTTGTTGGTAGTGAGAAGAATGAGCTGGAAGATGCAGCGGTGGCGAAGATACGGCAGTTGACGGCGGAGTTGGAAGGTGCCGGCGGGAAAAAGTCTGACCCGGATGAGAAGATCCGAACCGGATTCGCCCACTTCAAGGCGGAGAAATATGAGTAAGTTGTTAGCAAGTACTTTGCCGTAAAAGAATTGTGTCCTATGCGATTAAAAGTATGTCCGAACCTTCGGTTATGGGGCATAAAATATTGCAAGATTCTCGAATATGCTGCCTGAAACTTTTAATAAGTGATAAATTGACGTAATTCATATTGATTGTTCTTTTCCAGTATTGAAGGTTGGAAGTTTGACTCACGGTATGAAATATGGTACCCGTTCAATTTGTAGTTGGACGGAATGTACATTAGTCCTTTAAAAAATATTTCTATAATTTTTTTATTTAATATATATATACAGATCATTTAAAAAATTATTGCATTATTATACAACCAAACTTCTCTATGATACACTTATTTATTTTCGAAATTTGTTGACTGTTATATCGAAGTATTGTTATTGAAAACATATATTATAACTTAACATAAAATTGATTATGTAAAAAACTTGAGTTTTATAGTGAATGATGTTTATATAGCGATACTGTTATAGAGAGTTGGACTGCATTTTAACTTTTTGTAGCCGATAATCTAAGTTACTAATCATGCTTTTATGGACGGTTACTTTTAGAATGATTCGATAGTATAATATTTTTTACTCTTTAATGTATATGAGTTGGATTAAAAAGAATGAAACTTTTGCTTGGCCAATTCAAAAAAAGTGTTAATGAGATTTCTAGCTTAATTTAGTTTGAAAACAAGATCGATGTGTATAATGATTGCTGACTTTTAAGTATAATTTATCCATTGTATTAGCATTTGTTATCATATTTAGAATAAAGTAAAATTATTGATAAACTGCAAAAGTTAGGAAGAATAATTCTACTAAATGATACTATCTCCGTTCATTTTTACTTGGCATGTATAATAAAAATAGATTTTCATTTTTACTTGTCACTTTACACATATCAAGAGAATGACAAAAAAAATTTCTGTTATACCCACAGTATTTATTACTCATTTCAAATCATTTTCTCAAATTCAACAAAATATGCATCAATTAATATGGGTATCATGGTAAATTATGCACTTCATTTATTATTTCTTAAGAGGCGTGAAAAGTCAAAACGTGCCAACTAAAAATGAACGGAGGGAGTACAAATATATTGATAGGTCAAAAAAAAGTCAAAGAAATTGATCAAAAAAGAAAATTAAAGTCAAAGAAAATAGGAGTAGCTATTTGATTATTGATTGGACAAGTGGATTGCAAGGTGTCCAAATTGTGTATGAGGAAGGTGGAATCCTGATCATTGAAGCCTAGCTTTCTGTTCACTATTTCTTTATAAAGATCATGGGCCTTACATTGCAAAAAGAAAGAATAGTCTCCATAATTAATGGAGAAGAATGTGGTACACTTCTTTGTACATAAAAGTGCGGTTAGAAAGAAAAGAAAAAAGTTGTTCTTAAAAGAGGATTTTAAGTTTATTTCCAACTACTTCTTGAAAGTAAAGCAGATTTAAATTTCATTTAACAAAAAGGGTAATTGGACTAACGATGTTGATGAATCTCCAAAATAACATACAATGTGAAGATTTCAAGTGTGTTTGTAAGTTCATTTTAACATAGAAAGTTTTTCTAATTTGCAAAGCTTATTGGGATAGTTGTAGTAAATATTTTTGCCTATATAATCATGTTTATTAATTCAGAATTCTTAACCTTCAAAGTTGCACTTTATTTGTAGGAAAAATCCTGAGTTGTTTGGACAGCTTGCAAAAGGTCAAAGTCCTAAGGTAATTCATACAGTATTAGTAAAGTGTGTTATCTTCAGACTTCTTGTTTCAGCAGTTAATAATAAATTATTGATCATATTATTAATAATATTATTACTATTATTATGCATTGTAGAATTACTATTATTATTATTATTATTATTATTATTATTATCAATCATGATTTGTCCATGGCGCTCTTTTCTGAATTAGCATTTTCTGAAGTCTTTTTCCTCCCATTAGTAAAACAAGAAATAATTATCTCTTGCAAACTCTTTGATCATGACCCTTTTTTCCAAAAATATTCATGAATGCTTTATTCTTGGTATTCCACAACAATTGTCATGGCGTTTAAGGCACGTTAGTATTGACTAATGCTCATAATTTTCTCATTAAATAACGTGCAGTTCTTGGTATTCGCCTGCTCTGATTCCCGAGTATGCCCATCCCATATCCTCAATTTCCAGCCAGGGGAAGCTTTTGTGGTCCGTAATATTGCAAACATGGTCCCTCCTTTTGATCAGGTGAATTTTTCTGCTATAGCAATTACACTTAAGTTTGTAATCTTTGCCACAATAAGTTTAGTAGTTTAAATTTGCCTCTGAAAAATGGCAAAAGAAAAGGAAGTACTATGTAAATGTAATACCATGCTGGAGACTTAATAAAGAAGAATCAACAACCAGAAAGAAAGGAACTAATAAACGCAAGTTGAGGAAAATAATGCGGATATGGCAAAAAGTTTTGAACTTTACATTATTCGTAGTTGAATGCAGATTCTGAAACATGTATGTTACAGTGGGGCGAATCTTTAACCCATCATTTATCTTGTACTTTTTGCACGCTGTTCTAATTAATAACTGTATTTAAAAAGTCAATCTAACTCTCTAATTTTGTTATACAGACAAAATATTCTGGAGTGGGTGCAGCAGTCGAATATGCAGTTGTCCACCTAAAGGTTAGTCATTTTTAAAACACCCAGATGATGGTTGAATATCGGTTTTACACGTACGTCTGCTGAATTAATCCTTTCATTAATAAAGGTAGCTCATTTTATCCTTACAATAGTACGTTAATTAGGGCATAAACTCTAGCGTTTTTAGCCTGCCATTTATGTTCCATTGGTCCAATGCTACCTAACTAAAGAGATGCCTTTCTTACTTTCTCCCCATATTTATGTAATTAATAATGTCAACATGTCTGACTTTGACTTTAATATCATGAGTTAAGAAGGATATTTGTAATAAAAAGATAACTTAAATATCAAGAGAATCACTTTTAGGAGTGTGTTGAGGCCATTCTTGTAATAACCTAAGTTTCTCCTAATTGATTAGGGGTAACATTTTTAACTCTCTTAACATTGTTTTGTGCGAGTTTTCAGAGATAATATTTTTATTAACTTCTAAAAATATTGAAGTCCGACAGTACTTGTCTGATTGGTCTCAAACCTTTTCAAATTTGCCTTTCGTTGAACGTCCCGTGTGCGCTCATAACTTCAGCCTTAAGTAAGTAGGGATTAGAATAGTACAATGAGTGAAATTGTGACATTTTTTAATTGCCTGGTCTTGTCCTTTTTCCTATCTATTTGGAGTTGTGAATTAACATAAACATGCAGGTGGTAGAAATCAAAATATGCATTAATCAGATCTTAACTTCAGCCTTAAGAAAGTAGGGATTAGTACAATCATTTAATTTAACGATTTTTAATTGTCTCTACTTTTCCTATCTTCCTATTTATTTGGAGTTGTGAATTAAAATAAAACTAAAAATGTACAACAGGTGGAGAATATTTTGGTGATTGGACACAGCTGTTGTGGAGGTATTAAAGGGCTAATGTCTATCCCTGATGATGGGTCCACAAACAGGTTGGTTTGTCCTTATTAAATTAAATGCCTGATAATGATTGAGAATGAAACTGGACTTATCAATAAGCGAATAGCCACCCTTATAAAGCTGCTGATAAATAAAGATGATCAGTCCACTTTTAGTTTAAAAGCATGTCTACTCATCAAGATTATTCTAATACACTAAATTAGGGGTACTATTCATATCAGTCCAATTTGTGCTTTCATCAAAAAGAAAAAAATCCAATGGCGCAAATAGTAGGCACATATCAAGATTTTAGGCTTTATTCGAAAAATCTTCTGATATTCTTTTTAAAAAAATTCTTTTGTTGTTTCTGCGTGATTTCCTTTAGAGAGTATGCAGTAATTATTCTACATTGCGTCTCAAGAAGTCAAATAATGGTTGAGTAAATTGGTATAAACATGAAAAATTCATACACGAAGGTCTTATACTTTTTGCATTAAAATGCATTCAGTGATTTCATTGAAGAATGGGTCAAAATCTGTCTGCCGGCCAAAGCAAAGGTAAAGGCAGAATGCTGCCATTTGGATCCCACTGAACAATGCACAAAATTAGAGAAGGTAATTACTCTTTTCAGTACATTAACTATGATATCTTTTACTCCGTACAATTCACAATAAGTGATCATTTTGTCTTTTGACATATCCATTAAAAAAATACAAACTCCTAAAAAAAATATATATATTCACTAAATTAACCTTGATTAATTGTTACATTGACACATTGGATTGGAATATGTAAATAAGGGCAAATTTTAGAAAAATAAAATTAATTCCTTCTTGATTATGTAAATGAACACTTATTTTGGACCAAAATAAAAAGGTAAAATGGTCACTTATTGTAGACAAGAGGGAGTACTAAGTAATACGTAAAATTTTACCATTTGGGAGACATTAAATTTTAGATATATACATATAATGTGAAATGTTTGGGTGACTTTGAGCAGGAGGCAGTGAATGTATCACTAGGCAACTTATTGACATATCCATTTGTAAGAGAAGCTGTGGTGCAGAAAAGCCTTGCACTGAAAGGTGGACACTACGATTTTGTGAATGGATCTTTTGAGCTCTGGAATATTGACTTCAATCTTACCCCTTCTGTTTCACTCTAAACCGTTGCAAAACTGTAACTTGACATGTAACCAATGCAAATCCGTTTCAAATTTTTCTTCACTTTGCATTTTGATGTAAATTAAATGTATTACTGAACAATGTGTGTCACACAAATAATATTAACCGGCTGTTTGAGCTTTGGGCTTATCTTAAGGTTTTGTTTTCGGTGAGCCAAAGTTTTACAGACCAGTTATACTATGTCGAATATAAGATCTTTTATCCATAAACTGTTGTTGTCTTCAACTTGGGAATTATTATAAATATAATGGCGTGTTTACCATTTTTTTGGGAGTTAATCTTTTCACTGCTCTATCATTTCACGAGATCTGGACTGCAAGAACCGAAGACAACGTTACATGTTATGACATAACATGTGCAAATGTGATCTTTGAGGAAGAGAGACTCTGCTTTTTCCTAAGGTAGTATAGATGAAAACTGTTCAAAATGAGAGCTACCTTTCAAGGAATGGGATGGATGACTACTTTTCTAGTGGTTCTGCGAGTTTCAAGATAAGAGATAAAGCTTAGCTTCCATTACCTTATCCATTGGGAATGGTCCACGGAACATATATACATTGTTTTCACTTTTTCACCAAATATGGCTTCTGTTTTCTTCCACCTTCTTTTACTGCTTTCACCCCCTTTCGTCACAGAGCAGATCTAGACTTAGTAGTGAGCGTTTCGACGTAACCATTGCGAAATGGTATTTGAAAATTAGAGTTATGTTTAATTTTGGGTTATTTTTGAATTTTTGTGAGTGATCTGAGTGAAAATTTTGATTTCAAAATTCATTTTCAAGTGAACAACACTGATTTCGAAAAAAAGGAAAAAAATTTCGAAACAAATTAAAAAAATTCTTATGTCCAAACTAGCTCTTGATTTGCCGTAGCGGGTTTAACCGAATTCACTAAGAGCCTGTTTGGCCATACAAATTATTTCACTTTTTCCCAAGAAATTTTACTTTTTTCATAATTAGTGTTTGTTCATGAAATTTTCAAATTTCACTTTAAGATGAATTTCAAAAAAATTTAAAAATTTGAAAAACTCTTTTTTCAAAATTCACTTCAAATCATTTACAAAATTCAAAAACAGCTCCAAACTATATTCATGTCCAAACACAACGCTAATTTTCAAAAATCATTTTCACTTGATTTTTTTTTTTACTTTTTTTCGAAATTTCACAATTCTTATGTCCAAACGCCCACTAAATTTAACTTGTATGTGTGCAAAAAATGGCATACATGCAAATAGCAGAAGTAATCATAGTAGGTAAAACTCTTCCGATATTTATATTGATGGGAGATAATGTATAATCGATTAAATCATTGAGGTGTGTAAACTAATCTCTACTGTTGAGGGAATTGAGCTTGGGCATTGCTCAAACGAAGCCATGGCTCAACCTGGCCCAGAACACAACTTGGATTTTTCCCTTTAATCATAGACAATCCCATGACTAAAAAATAGATTGTAGAGGGGTCCAATCTTCTACCAATTGCTTAGTAAGTATATTCGAAAGGGCAAGAGAGATGGTGCATTTTTATGTCAAATACTTAATTATATTTCCAATTTATTCCTTTTCTGCCGTAATTACCAATCTTCCCCTAAAACAAGGCTCTAGTAGTCATCCTACTTTAATATCTAAACTGCTGTAATTCAAATGATTTTAGATGTCCATACATCGGGGTGATAGTTTGAGCCCTAACCCATTCAGCCCGCTCAAGGTTGGGCCGCTCATTCACTCGCTCATTGTTGAACTCAACTCATCTTAACCCAATCCATCTAAGCTCATCTAAAGAGTATTTTTACTTGGGATTTTTTCGTTCCTATACAATATTTGAAACTTATTTACCAAAATTGTTCTAATTTTATATATTGCCCGCCATAAACAAGGATTACTTACAAATTATATACATTCCACCTTAAAAGGCTCTCAATCCATTATTAGTACCTTCAATCAAGGGATTTAGTTACATCTTTTTCCTTTTTTCTCTCCTCTCTCCCCTCTTCTCTCTAGATCGAACTTATATTTAGGGATTTCTTTTTGATAATTATTTGATGACAAAGTGGGTTGCTCTGATGGTAAGCACCCTCCACTTCCAACCAAGAGGTTGTGAGTTCGAGTCACCCCAAGAGTAAGGTGGGGAGTTCTTGGAGGAAAGGATGCCGAGGGTCTATTGGAAACAGCCTTTCTACCCCAGGGTAGGGGTAAGGTCTGTGTACACACTACCCTCCCTAGACCCCACTAGTGGAATTATACTGGGTTGTTGTTGTTGTTGTTGTTTGTTTTTTATAATTATTTCAAAAATACATTCGTCAAAGCCATGAGATACTGAAGTTGTCATCTTTCTGTTTTTGGGTTTTTTTTCTTTATTTTGCTGGTGAATTTCCAATAGTTGATTGTTCACCACATATCGACACACTGGAGAAAAAGATCATCCATCAATGAGCAAGAACCAAAGACTGAATTTTTTGTACAACCAGGAGAAGGTAATGTCTCCAAAAGCAGGCGACGAAAAACTTACATCGAATGTTGCAGCTAAACAAAATTTAGTATCTTCTCTGACTTCAGAGAAGATAAAATCAACTGAGAAAAGAATAATATATGGTACATCAACATACAAATTAAAAATAAATTTCGTATAAATTTAATGCAAATTTGAATATCTACAACAACATACATAGTAAAAATAAATTTCATACAACTAATTATACATTATACAACTTATCTACAACTTTCATACATTATTTCTACCTAGTTAAATACAACTACAATATCATACAACTTAAATACAATTTTCCTACAAATTTTATACAATATATATTTTGTATATTTTGTATCTGATTTGTATATATTTTGTACGTGGTGTGTGCTTCTTCATCTCTAAAATTTCAACCAAAACTTACTCTCTTAATATAGTTTTGATACATATCAACAACTTTATGTAAAAAGATAGCATTGATAACTTAAATATAAATTTTATACAACGATTCATACATTATATAACTATTTTCAACTTTCATACAATATTCAAATAAAAAAATATATATAACTACAACAGAATATAATTTACATACAATTATAATATAACTTTACTATAATTTCGTAAGTATATTGTATGTCATATGTTCTTCTTCGAGTTTCAATCTGAAATTCAGCCAAAATCAAGTCTAATCTTCACCAAACACCCTCAAAATTGAGATATAAACTCCAAAAAATATTCTCAATTGTCTCCGACAATACCCAATCCAAACAAATAATAATTTTTGAAAACTCAAATTCGAATTCAAAAGTTTTGAAGCTTTTTAATGGCTGTCAATGGTGGAGAATCAAACATCTTCAAAATTTATTGATTGACAATTTTAATTCGAACATCAATTGTGCGACATGAAAGGGAATTGTAATGAAGAAAAACTGGAAAAATAATAAAGAAGAAGAGTAGAGAGACGAAGAGAGAGAGAGAGAGAGAGAGAGAGAGAGAGAGAGAGAGAGAGAGAGAGAGAGAGAGAGAAACGGAGAGAGAGAGCGGGCAAGTATAAAGGAATAAGGAAATAACTGATATTCCTTATTCAATTCTTAATATAAAGGGATACTCATTTAAAACTTATTTGTATATAATTGGTAAATTATATATGGCCATGTAATTAAATTGAAACTTGAGTAGGGAGGGTAATAAGGTTTCAAATAGTATATAGGAAGGTAAAAATCCCTTTTTACTTAGCTATAGTACTTTTTAAACTTATTTACCCTTATTATTGATTTATTTTTTGGTAAATAAAGAAATTTTATTACCAATGAACATATGTACAGTACAAACTAAACCGAACTTGAATATACATCCCAGTTTCAACAATTCTACATTCATCTCCTCAACTACCTATCACATATAAGACTGACTGTTACATTCCTAAGGATAGTAGTTGTACTGCTCCATTTTCCTTGCCAAAGTATTCTGCATAGATCCTCTGCAAAACATTTCCTTCACAATCAACCTTGTAACCACCTCAAAACTTCTTCTTTTAGCCTGAAATATTCTCAGATTTTTCACTATTGAAGTTTTAACTTAATTACAAGTTGATGTATAATTTATCAATTATATAGTATAAATTAGTATTAAATAAGTATCCATTAATATTAGAAATTGAATAGGGAATATTAATTATAGTGTATCCAATTTTTCCTTCTCTCTCCCTGTTCTTTCTTTTGCCCTATTCTTCTTCATTCGATCTTCTCCTCTCTCTCTCTCTCTCTCTTCATCCCTTTTATCCTTTTTTTCTTCGGGGAATTCATTTATGGATTTTAATTGTTTGATTATGGAGTTTTAACTTAGCAATTTTCTTTTATGTTGCGTAGTTGGTGTTCAAATTAAAATCATCAATTAATAAATTTTAAAGGTGTTTGATTCTCCATCATTGACAACCATTAAAAAAAGATCCAGTCAAGTATTATTACCTCAAGTAATATTCAATAGCCATGTAGATTCATGCCATGTGGATCATAAAATGATTAATGGCTGAGATCCGTTTAACTCTTATACTAATAAAAAAAGAACTAAAGTAAAAGTTTGCCTAACTCCACCGTTAAGAACTAACCCAAGTATCTCGCCTTATGTCTCTTACTTTTAGCAAAATAAAGCTAAAACTGAATTTTATTAAGAAAAAGCAATTAAAGATGGCGGGAATCACCTACCCGATTTTTTTACCTGCCAAAAGAACCTTTTCTCCTTTGGAAAGATCATACATATCATTAAAAGATATGTATTCATCTTTTACAAGTATCTCATCTTATTTCTTTTCCAAAGAAATCCAAAGGATTCATTGTTGCTATCGTCAACAACAAATAATGAATCTCTTGAAATACAAGGTTTTATTCTCTACCTTTTCTTATATTATTAGTTATTGTTTGGTCTTGTTAAATTTAATTGTATTTTTTATTTTAAGTTTGATTAATTGATATTTGTCTGATCTAATTTTCACGACCCAAAAATCCCACCACAAGCATCGTGATGGCACCTAGTCTCTAAGACTAGGTAAGCCGATTTCAATTACATTTTAAAGCCTTTTATTTTTAATAAGTAATCAAAACTAACAGCAGAACAAATATGAATATAAAACCTCCCAAGACTAGTAGTACTGAGTCACGAACTCTAACTGAATACATAGAATGATCAAGAGTACTGAATATACAATACTGTTTGATTACAAATTAACAGTACAATAAAACTAAAAGA